AACACCTACTACCTCAATGGTTCCACCTCACACATCAAACGGCGCTAAAGGGCATATGCTAGACATCGAAACTACCCATAAACTTGCTTCTTTCCTCGAAGCCAAACTTAGCCTCAAAAACACAACAGAAATTCCGAGACCGGTTCATGGGCCCCTGCAGTACGTGATGCAATCGTCTCAATCACTCCGAGCAAAATAAGCAGCGACAAGCGGCATCGCATTGCCTCTTCATGCATTCAAACACTGCCCCAGCGCCATCCACAAAAGGAAAATGAAGCAAGTAGCAGCAGCCACATGTTTGTTTCAGGGAACAGGAAACTGGACACAGAGAGCTAACAGCGAACTGCAAACTGGAGGACCGAACTCGGACAGTGAAGTGCAGACAGGGAACTGGAGACAGCAAACTGGGAACACAGAACTGGACAGGGAGGACTGGGACAGGCAGGGAACTTGGGAACAGGAAAGAGACGGGGAACTTGGGACAGAGAACTGGGAACAGGGAACTGGGACTTCCCTTCCACATTTCATTTTAGAGGCCCCCGCCGTGGCAGAGAACAATTGGTGCAATGCCAGGAAGCAACCTGCCAAGCTCGTGGGGTCACGTCTGCACGAAGAAGACGAGCAGCGGGCTCTTTCGCCAGGTTGAGGAACAAGAGTTGAGAGTTGCTGAGCGCATTGCTGAACAATTCGTTGCCTCTGTTTCACCTCTCTTCATTGTGCCGGAAGGCAATGGAGGACGTTTTTCGTGCCCGTTTTTTCATTTCTGCAGTTGCTCGAGGAGGAGGCAGCGAAGCAGAGCGTTTGTTGAAGAGATTGCGAGGCAGCTCGAGCCAGCTCCGTCATGGGGTGATGTGTGCCGAGAGGCACAAGTCACTCTGAATTAACATGAGGGGTGCGAGGAAATGAGCCCGACCAAAAAGAAAAGGAACCAGGACCAACAAAAACACCCACAACCAACAAGAAAGCACCAAAAACAAACCCAAACCAATCACAAAAACCAAGCAGATCAGGCTCATGTCCGCTCAAGACGTGAAAAGCAAAAGGTGCAGATGCGAAGACAAACACAGGAGTGAAAAGGGACGATGAACAACAGTGTGCCAGAGCTTCCTCTCAAGATCACTCAGCATGGGCAAGTTAACCAGTGGCTGGCCAGCAAGGTTGCGACAGAACCTTGCAAGGAGGTGAAACAAGAGCGCTCTGGCCCGTGCAAAAACAAAAAACAAAAAAACGCCCTTTGCGAATGTGCCTGCAAGAGGATTTGAAGGTCAGCCTCGTTGTCCCAGTCACAGTGGGCGACATTCACTTTCCAATGTGTCTTCGCGGCAAGTGCAGGAGGCATAAGGCAGTGCGCCCGTGCAGATCGCATCCCGGGCCACTCCACCAATGCCCAATAGCCACATGCTGTTCCCTTTGCCGATCCTCCCTGTCAATCTGTGCTGTCCGAGCAAGGCTGGACCCAATCCAAATTGGAGGCTTGCCATTCGTGGCTTGCCCACCACCAGCAAGCCGCTCATAGAGCATGCAGCTGAGCACTGTGCCTCGTAATATAAGGTCAGTAGAAGGAAGGTTTGACCGATTTCTGCTTCGAAGATCAGGAAGCCTTCCACCAGCACTGGCTGGATTACAAAGGCTAAGGCTCGCATGTTCATCCATGGCTGTGGCCGGAAAAATGAGGTGCGTGCGCACACCCACCAAGCCCTTCGTGCGCCCAACACAGTCCAGCCACATTTGGGTTTGGACCGTTTGCTAGAGCAAGTCCGGATCGATGATGTCTGTTCGCTTCCAGTTGATCGGGATGAAGGGTGTGCAACCAAGCAAACAGGTCAAGGACCCCACCATGATTCAGTGCCTCCTCCAATTCCAGGCCCGCATCAGGAGGACATGATCTGCCCAATAGTGCAGCCCATTTGAAGGATAACACCCAGGTGCATCCGCCACAATCGACATGAGTTTGTTTTCCTTTCCCTGAGTGGCATTCTCTTTGTGGGAAGCACAGTCAAGCAGAGGTACGCCCTACATGAGCACTTGAAAAACCTGGGAATTGGCGGGTGCCCTGCGCTTGGCAGGAGGCAAAGGTTGGCCAATATTCGAGGCATTGGAGCGCTCTGAATGCGTGTGATCTCGCGGTGCAACAACAGGCGGTGTGTCTTTGCCCCCGTTTTTGGGTTCGATCCATGAATGATGAACCCTTCTTGCGTGATGTGCGGCACCAACCGGCAGCGCGAGAGCCACCACTTTTCAAAGGTAGGCCAGTGTGGAACATGCCCGGGTTGCCTCTTTGAGACACCTGGGCATGGCTGCCACCCTATAATCTAGAGAAACCAGAGGAAATGCTGGAAAAGCCTTTGAAAACCCTACAAAGCCAGCGGAAAACGTGACAAAATCTAGGAAAAACCAAGGGCACTGGCA